CCAGGCGAGGGCCTTTTCCAGAGCACGGACGGCGAGGGGGGGGGGTTGGTACGGACCCCCCCCCCCTCCTGGCGATTGGCTCCTATGGCACTTAGAAACACCAAATTTACAGGGTAGATGGGTCTATAGGAGGTCTCGCCCCTGTACAAATTTGGTTGCTCTAGGTCAATATTTAGGGGGGTTTTGGGGATATAAGTGTAAATTTTTTGCTAAAACAGTCGAAAAGTTTTTCGCTTATAACTTTTGATCTAATTAAGATAGAGCAAAAAGAAAAGCACCAGTGAACTCAGCACGTCAAGGCGCGTCGAATGATATGCTTGTTTGCTTGCTTAAGTGTACTTAAAAAGTTAAGCACATCTTAAGTACATCTTAACCCGCGCGGGGCTGGGGTCTCCAGCCGAACGCGCGGGGCTGGACCCCCCCCCCGTTATCTCCCGAACTAATGGTCCGATTTGGAAAATTCAAACGCCAATCGAAAGCTCTCATCACGAACTACTAAAAACATGTACTTAATTTAAAGTTTGAGGTCAAGGTCAAGGTCAGGTCAAGGGTACAAATTGCAAGTTTCTACAGTATCGGCCTTGCACCGTAGTTGCCGAAGAATGGAGTCATGGACTGAGACTGATCGCCCAAAACGTGTTCTTAGGCTACCAAGACAATATTCGTTGCATACAATATCATTCAGAGGTCAAGGTCAAGGTCAGGTCAGGTCAGGTCAGGTCACCAAAAAACAAAATATAGAAAAGGGCATGTGCGACACATGTTTTATGGGTCATTTTACTCATAGAATTCAATAGGCACACTCAATAAGTGATATGGACCACCTCTGGATGAATTTCAGGTCGAGGTCAGGTCAAGGTCAGGTCAAGTGAGGTCAAATTTTGAAGTTGGTTGTTAAGGCCTAAAAAGGTGTCTATCTGATGCAGTTTTTCACGGCGAATCGAATGGTGCTATTTTTGTTTCCGTACGAGGTCTAGAACGTCCAAAAAAGTCATTTTTCAAAAATTTTGTGTGTCGTGACGTCATAAAATTTTGAATAACTCCCACATTTTTGAACTGATTCTTCTAAAATTTGGTATGTAGGTGCACATAGACCACTTCTCTGACATATATTCCGTTTTTTTCGATAGACTCAAAATTTTGGATTTTATAATGATTTTCCCAAAAATGATTTTGAAAGATAATGATTTTGAAAGCTTTATCTTTATTGTGTGACAAGTTATTGGCACAAACGTCATTTGACCTCAGTTGACCTCATTTGACCTGACCCATGGACAAGTACACCAAACAAAGAAGCACCAAGTGACATAATGTTAAGTACTGTTGTTTCAAAGCACCAAAGTGATAAAAGAAGCGGATATCGCCAGTATTTTCCGAATTGAATATTTTCTTATAGGCTTAACATTACGACGTAATGACCTCGGCTCTAACTGACCTCAGGTCAGCGACATGAAAAAAACGAACTACATGTTATACAACTCGGTGAACTTAGGACATTCTGAAAGTTTGAAGGAAATCAGTTTAAAACTGTGAGTTGGACAGGTGCATAAAGATAATTGAAATTTGACCATGACCTTGTACCGGTTTTTCTGACCTGGTGACCTGACCTGAAACGGCAGAGACCTGAAATTTTCAGGGAAGGTGCCAAAAGGCTGCCCCAGAGGGTATGCCAAATTTGGCGGCGCTACGCGCCGCCGTTTTTACGTTATTTGCGAAAAACCTTAGGGGGGTTGCATCAACCCCCCTCGCCGGGCGAGGGTTACATATGTATATGATGAATTGCTAGGTTTTTCAGAAATATGAATATCTTCTAAACCGTTTGACGGATCAACACGAAACTTGCGGTACCCTCAGCGGCATCAATTTGACAACTTGTATTAAAATTTCAACTTTCTAGCTACCATCGCTTGGCCGGAAATGACGTCAGAGTGACGTCATGTCGGCCGATTTTGATGCCTGGAAATTGTTTCTATTTCCAAAAAAATATACATTTATTTTAGTTTTTCAAAAAGTTTTGATTTTTCGCAAAAAAAAATATATGTGATAGAATACACAGTCACACTGATGAACTACTCTAGCAAGTTTTAGCCAAATATCTTCAAAGATAGCCAAGTTATTAGCATTAGGTCCGTACCTATTGTCAAAATTTTACATATGTAGTTAGGATTTCAAATGACCTTTTCCTCGATAATTAATTGGAAATTCAATAAAAAGTAAATATTATATTTTATTGAATTTCCAATTAATTATCGAGGAAAAGGTTATTTAAAATCCTAGCTACATATATCAAGATGTTCCTCGCTATAGAGCACTGCATATACTATTTCTTCAAAATTTTACAATTAGGTATAGTTCGTTTTTTTTTTCAAAAGGACGCTGGCTCAAAGTGCAATATCGAAGCTCTCACGTGAGTTTTGGCAGCTTTAGTGTCTGGCCAAGAATTTCTTACCGAAAAAAATAATCGATTTCAAATTGTGCACGGTAAGTAGCTGGAAATTGTTTCTTAAAAAATGAACATACTATGATGACGTCACTGGTGGCAGCAGGCAAACAAATGTCCGTGCAATGGGACAAGTGTCAACGAATTTGGGTGAAACTTAGTTTTTCACTGTTGCCGTGCTTATAATCGCGTTAGCGGTTCCGTCCATGATAGTTAGGTATAAACTATAAGCTACATTGCAATACATGCTCGACAGCATGACGTCACCACTGTTCCTATATCTGGTTCCAAAACGCACATATGGAAATTATCGGGAAGAAATCACATGTTAAAATTAGTCGACGTTCGATTTTCTCAGGTTCAGTTTTTGCTCGTTTTGCTCGCTAAAACACGTGCTTGTTCGAAAAACATACTTGGAGCCAGCGTCCTTTTGAAAAAAAAAAACGAACTATAGGTAGGGGAAAGTGGGGTAAGACGGTCAGGGTAGGTAAGACGGGCACCCCTTCTGCAGACCAAACCAATAGCACTACGAGCGAGAAAAATCGGGACCAGAATTGCCTTTCCCACTAGGTACACACCACCATTGAAGTCCGCTGAATTTGTGTTCAGTCGATAACCTTTTATATGATTTTTTTTTTATTTTGATTGGGGGTCCGTTCGACCCCCCCCCCCCCTATACGGGCGAGGGTTAAAACACTCATTTCATTGAAAACATCAATAATTTATTGTGCAAACTTTTGTGTGCACCACTATAGAGTTCAAAACTCGCATCACTTGTGAGTTGTGATACACTCATATGCCACCAGTGTTCATTTACCACGGATTTGCTTTGTCTGCATCAAGTTGTCCACAGAGAAAAATCGTGCTGAACTTCTGACATTGAGTTTGGGGTAAGACGGGCAACTATGAATCCAATGGGTCTGTAATGGTGAAAATATTTTTGCTGCTGTAGGAAAAAAAGAAGCATTTCTAATACGAATACCTATGTTCGATTCCGATACTCACAGACCTGTTAGCAATATTCCTTCGACACAGTTTATTCTCGAATAATGAATGTGAAAAACGGTTCTACATGGCTTCTGAACTAGGGCCTATATACGAGCACACGCCTTCTGCACGAAACTCGTATATACTGCCATTTCCGAAGCACTTGAGACCAACGAGCGACTGTATCAATGAGGCTAATCTCGGGCATTTGTTGCGAGCTGTGCTGGTCGGTGAAAGAAGCTGGCCGTCTTGCCCTACCCAGGTGACCGTCTTACCCCATGGGGTGGGGTAAGACGGGTTTTTGCAAGGTTTTGCAAAAATAGCTGCAGTTTATTTGTTGAATCAGGTCTAAGTCTCGTCTTCTGGCAAATGGAAGTAAGATATCTAAAAAAGATTTTCACCCAGTTTCCCGTTTCTATGATGTTTCTAACCGGCCGAAAAATGGCTCCAAAGTTAAGGTGCCCGTCTTACCCCACTTTCCCCTATGTATATATTTTTCAAAACCATTTTAAGTATACGTTTTTGACAACGTACAGCAATACAAATGGCACCATCGTGTTCCTGAGCTCAAATTGCATCTGATGGGCACCTTTTTTTGCTGATTTTTTTTTGCTAAAAATTCCTATGTCATTTTCAAAATTTGACCTCTTCTGACCTGAAAGTGACCTGACCTCCGGTAAATTCAGCTGAAAATAACCTCAAATGACACAGACGACATTATTTTCGAAATCTACGAGTAAAATGGACCATAAAACATGCATCACGTGACCGATACATGATGTACAATTTTCGTGACCTAGGATGACCTGACCTTGACCTGAAAAAATCGAAGTAAAAATTCGGTACCCTCGGGGTATGTAAGGCATCTATCAAGGAGTGCGTAAACCAAAAATGAGCCTGATCGGACTTGTCAGCCGGCGGCCAGAGCCTAAATTGCCAACAAGAAAAATGCCGATAATTTTTATTTGACCTGACCTGTGACGTCATCGGTGACCTCGAGGTCAATAAAAATAGGTTCCGTTCGACAGTATTTGCAGGGCTATCAGACGCCGTTCGAAATTTGACGATCGGCCCAGTAGTTTTGGAGATAGGAGGGGGTGCTCTGGAGAGCCCCCCCCCCCCCTCAGTCACTCGCGTTAGGAAAATACCCTAGTCATGCACGGGTTAATCTAACAATATAATTATACATATGGCAGTTAGAAGCCTGCTAAGTGCAAAATGTCGCCGGCTGAGGTGATCGGCCGACGCGGGAAACGCGGCAATCACTATTTTGTGTTTACACGCTCATAACTCAAGTTTTTACCGGCCGATTTTCAAAATTCTTTGACTATAAGATTGCCTGTACGATTCGTTCGCTCGTTTCGAACAACATGAGCCCACCTCAGCCCAGGCTGCAGCTGTGAGCGGCGCTGCACTGACGGCGCCTGCCGGCTGTGGTGCCGGTACCGGCGCGGCGCGGCAGCCGGTCCGCCCAGCGCGCCGCCCCTGGCCCCGCCGCTGCCGGCGCGCCCGCCGTCCGACGGGTCCGCCTATAAAGGCGCCGGCACGTGCGCCCGACGCCAGACGATCGGAGGAGTGGTACGGTACGGTGTGTCGCCATGGCTCCCTCCTGCAGTCCTGTGACGCCGCTGGCCCTGTGGCGGCGGCGCGACTCGACCAACTCGGCTCCGCTGGCGCCGGTGTCGTTCTGCCTGCCGGACGGCGGCCGCCTTCAGCGAGAGCTGCGCATCAACTACAACATGAGCGAGGTGCGCGCCCTGCTGGCCGACGAGATCCAGTTTGATCCGGATCAGGTGAGCACCGGGTCATTGGAGTGAGCAGCGGCGGCTGCTAGCCAGACACGTGGGTACACAGCCGGTCGGGGTGCGTACTTCGTCCCCTTGTCCGCGGCCGGTCACTGCCCACAACACAACACCTTCTTCCTAAACCTCGCAGCGCGACACTCACGTACGTATCTGCTGAAAACTGGACTTCTATCACCCATTCCATCGTTTCCATACACAGGATATTCAAATAGTTCTCCACGCCGCAGCCCTGCTCAGTGCTCTGCTCAGGGCTGGACAGTGGACAGGCAACGGGCGGCTCCCATTGGAGCGCATCGGGGAGCACACCCGTAGCCGGGTGCAGAGAGTCCTGTGGCGGGGGGGGGGGGGCTGGACAGCCTGCCCATTGGACGGGCTCAGCCCTGGTGACTCTCTAGGGTGCCTGCCCAGACCAATGTCTCCCTCTCATTCTTATTCATCCTCCCGGCTCCGCAATGGTCTAAATGGACCGAAAGGGCCTAATCCAACAAAAAAAGAACTTTGATCATTTAGCTGTTGATAAAACTCATAGGCGGATCCAAGGCGATAAATACTGCGGATCCAGAGAGGCGGCCTCGAACTCCACGGGGGGGGGGGGGGTACCCAAAAAAAATTATCCAAATTGCAAAATTTCCTTCGACTTAGCGGTTCCTTTCGGACTGCTTATGCAGTTAAGAGCGAACTTTTACTAAGAAAAATTAAGTTTTTGTATTCTTGAAAAACGAATAATTTTCATCGATTTCGGGCGCTGTAAGGAGATCATTAGCCCCTAATTCCCCTTTGGACCCGCTAGTGTCTAGTGATAACTGATAAGACTAACAGCGTCCATGTCCTGAACAGAAGTAGGTTGGTACCCAACTACTTGAGGTGCCTTGTTCGCTCCATGAATACCTATGGTTCTTTTTGAAAGTGTCCCGTATAAAGAGCCAAAGGGCAAAGAGGGCCAGAGTCAGCGACGTCATCCATTTCAAATTATTGGAAGATCGATGCCTACTCAATTAAATACCAACCAAAACCATCGGGAAAGACGAATTGCCGAGCCAATCAAATGTGCTGGGTACGAATTACGATAAGAGAAAATGGTAGACTCGGGGCAGGTAGTGTATTACTGAGGCTTCATAAAATCAACGAAATGCCAAAAACCAGGCTTGAAATGCTTAATACGAAGTTGGTATCGCCTATCGCTTTTGCATTGGCAGCCATACCAGGATAGTTGTACGCAATTGACATCTCTAGATAAGACATTCGTTCCTGCGTCGGTACTGACGCGGACGAGTCACCCCGCTGACGGTTCACCCCGCGGACGGGTCACCCCGCGCACGGGTCACCCCGCTGACGGGTCACCCCGCTGACGGGTCATTCCGCGCACGGGTCACTCCGCTGACAGGTCACCCCACTGACGGGTCGCTCCGCGGACGGGTCACTCCGCTGACGGGTCACTCCGCGTAGGGGTCACTCCGCGGACGGTTGGTGCTGGATGCGTGTCGTGCTGCTGAGCCAGCATTGCTGTCTGCCGTACTGCGGTGCTGATTTCGCTGGATGTCTGACCGTACTTCCCGCGGAAGGCGCTGGCGGATGCTGTGCGATAGGCGCGCGGCAGCTGGCCTCCGGCCTCGGTCTGTGGACGCGCCGCCGGTGTGCCTTCTTCCGGCCCGCTCCCGGCGGAGAGTGAGTGGCGTCCGTTCCGTGTGCGGCCGGCCGCCGCGCTGGGTCCGATCGGCCCTGCAGCGCAGTGGTCCGCCCTGATCGGTGCGCACCGCGCGCTGTCGCTGTCGAGCGGTCAGCCAGGCCGCCGCGCGGCGCCAGGTCGGCTCCCCGTCTGGGCCCCTTGGCCCCGGCGATTCATGCCCGGGTGGGTCGGCCACCAATGATGTCCCCTAATCTAGCGGCTCAAGGGATTTGGTGAAGACCTTGAGTGGAGCGGCCCGCGAGCGGTATCTGGTCTGCCACAAGGCCTGCCGCCGCCGCCTCGCCCATACGCCGCCGCTGACAGGCCCGCGACCCGTGAGCAGCGTCACTGAGCGCCCAGGGAATGTGGCAGTGGCGGGAGGACCCCCGGACCCCGGCGGACCCCAGCCGCGGGAGGACCCCCGGGCCCCGGCGGACCCCAGTCGCCCCGCTGAACGGACCTATCGTTAGATACACGCCGCTGCCAGCGATCAGGCAGGCACTAGGCAGGCCCAATGCGCACAACATCCCTGTCGAGCAAATAAACTAACTGAAACGGACTGAGACGCGCGGCGGGCCAAATGTTAGTTCGCATTGGCCCCAATAAATCGCCGCACGCTGTTGACACTTCAAGGCATTTGGTAACATGAGCTGAGGTCAACTGGGTCAACAATAAATGCGCATCCAAGCCAACGAAACGATTCCCTGGACCTTCAAAATACTGGACTGATAAGTCACATGTTTTTATAAAGTGAGGAATTGCAACGTAAAAGAAAGAATTAAAATGGAGCAAATATCTGTAATATTTTCTCAGCTGGGGTCATTCGCAAATTTAGGTTATAAGATATAATGACAACTATATAAACACACGTCAAGTGAACTTGAAAAGAAAAATTAAAACGGGACCGAATAGGCATGACACTTGATCAGCTTAGTACATCCTTGTATTATCGCCTATTGATAGGTATATATTGACCTAATGATAGGATATCGCATTGATTATGAACCTTCTTATCGCCTTTAACACATCCTAAAGTTTGAATCAAAGTTGATGTAAAATTTTGCGTTTTAGGTGTAGAAAGATAAGTGTTATTGCAGTGCTATTTTGACGATGAACCGGTTTCATGGCCTTGTGACCCGTCCAGAGGTCACTGGGACACAACATTATCTGGATAACTATGTGCCAAATATGTTCCCAATGAGCGTCCGAAATTTGGTTGTCATCTACGTACCATTATCGTGCCATTGTCGTTTTTTGCGCTATCTGTGAAAAACGTAGTCACTCCGATGCCGCTAAATTACCTACTCAAACTTTACCCTCCTATAACTACCTACTGGTTTTGGTGACCTTGTTATCTGACCTGAAATGCCTGACTAAATTTTTAGGGAATGTGATATAAGGATCCGCAATAGGGTATTCAATTTTTGGCAGGGCTACGCGAGCCGTTTTTACGTTATCTAGGAAAATCTTAGGGTGGTGGGGTGCACTGAGCCCCCTGGCCTGGCGAGAGAATGTTTCGGTCCAGGGGTCTGATTCAGCTGGCTAAAAAGACTCGCTATGTTACCGGGCGTCCCTGGTCCTGCGCACCTGGCCGGAAACCATCGGCTGTGCCGCGGGACGCAGGCTACTCGGCTTCCCGGAAGAGAGAGAAGAGAGAGAGAGAGAGAGAGAGAGAGAGAGAGAGAGAGAGAGAGAGAGAGAGAGAGAGAGAGAGGGGGGGGTGGGAGGGGGACGGGGATTCCCGGGGTCCCGAGCGAAGGGCTACCAGTCCCGGCGGGGCACGACGTATAGTCTCTCTTGAAAGTATCGCTTCATGGGCTGCGGCGGCTCGGCGAACTATTCCATTCAGTTTGAGGACCCCAGCAGGGGGGGTCATGGCCTGTATCATAAAAAATTGCGCTGTAATACGATCCTACGCCAGCAGTAGAAGGAGAACTGCTATATGACGCAGGCACCAGCGGCTGACAGCTGGGTCGAAACAGGTGGAGGCCGGCCAGAGGTCGTGCTCGTATCGCTCTCCCTTGACCCCGTCCACCGCCCCAGGCGGACACCGGCGCCACTTGGGTTCACCAGCTGGGCGCCCATCGCTGTCAACTCAGTGTGTGCGACGCGTAAAATCACAACGAAGCGAAGTTCCGCCATAACCCTACTCTGAAGAGGCCTTTTGAACGACGTGAACAGGTCATGGGAGGGGGGGGCACCTGGCATCAAATAAGGACTTTAAAAAGAAGACGACTGAAGGGTAAACATTGTTTTTTATCGCCGTTCACTAACCAGCTCATTAAAAAGAGAGAACGTTCAAGTAAAGGACTAAGTGACTATAGAGGAAGTTTTTTGTGATTGGAATCCGCTCGCGGGTGCAAATGCAACCTGGGATGCATTCCGTTAGCGGGTGCAACTGATGTTTTCTTTTCTTATTCGCGCACGGGTTTCTGGGTTATACCAAAACCTATTGTAGTCGTGCCGATGACTGATCAAAATTTCAGCTTTGTAGTGAAACAAATCTCAAATCCTCTGCGAGTAGGGCGGCTTCCGTTGACCACATGCTTACTGCCATCACAAGTTACCGCACGGCGACCGCCCTCATCCCCCCTATCCCTCCGCAACCTCTCCCCACGCCCCGCCGCGTTGGCTGCGGCCGCGCGTCTGGCTTCGGTCAGTGCTTTCAGTGGCTCTCAAACTTTTCCACTCAACAGCGGCTGGGTCAGGTGGCGCCCTCCCCTCAGAGTCGCGATACTTTCAAGAGAGGCTATACCTACTGGACTGGGAGCCGCGGGCCTGGCAGACACGCTGAGCACCTGACAGGATCACCGCTGCCGCGGCTGCAGGCACTGCCAGTTCAGGAATGCGTCTCGACATTCCATGACTTGTTACCTGGACATTCCATGACTGAATAACACGGGCACCACGCTGTGCCGTGTCTACCTTCACGGCTTGGCCGTGAGGAATTCGGACTGCATGCATCGATTTGTTCGGGTTGAATGAGTTTGTAGTACCTAATACGCAGCCTGGCTCGATAGCTTTGGTAGTTTTGGTCGATGCCATAACTATTCTTTTGCGTGTTCTCGTCGACAATATGAAACTGTCGCGCTTAGATCAGTGTGGTATTTGTCGTCTCCTTGCTATCGGTCCGCCACAGAGCCATCCGAGTTCCGACCAAGATGTCGATTGGCAATGAGCTGAATCTCGGGATCATGCAGCCCCAGCTGCTCTGTGACGCTGCGGTGGCGATCAGGTCCTGCCGCCCCGGCCCGGCCCGGCAGCGCGCCCTGCGGAGCTGGCAGGGCCCCCCGTCTCCGCGTCAGCGTCCGAGCCGCCCCAGCGCGCGTCCCGTCCCGCCGGGGCGCGGCGCCGGCCGGCCCGCTATTTGGGGCGGTGACGCGATGTGACCTCGGGCCGCGATGTGTCACCGCTCTCGGCACCAGAGCTCCATCTGAGTAAATGTCGTACTTTTCTATTCCCGGCCTTTGGCAACACGTACTTGCGGTGATACCGGTGTTTGCAAATGCATATCTGACTCAACGAAGCGATGCGTGGGAGGCACCGACCGTCAGTATACGATGGACTGAAAAGCTACTTTTCTAATAGCGGTTTCGTGCAGCTGAACTTGGGTCAGTGCTGCCAAATTCAGTGTCGTATGGTGCCGAGGCGGGTGCGGTCGGCCGCCGCGGTGACCGGGGGCCGTCCTCGACTGTCAAGCGGGGCCACTCGGACGGCGGAGGACCAGATGCGCGCCGCGCCGTCCGCGGCGGTACAGCCGCGTCACTCGGCGCCGGCCGGCCCGGCAAGGTCACACGCGGCCTCCGAGCACGGGCCCGTGACCTCAGCGCCACGCAGTGGCATGACGCGCACTGTCAGTGACGGATCAGCTTCAGAAGCGGCTGAGCTGGGGACGGCAGGCGCGGGACGTCTGCAGCTGACCGGAGCGCCGCCGGTGCATCTGCAGAGCCGCGGACAGCAGTAGCACAGACCGCGGCCGCCGCCCAATGTAAACGGCCGCGTAACACAACACGAACGGACCGGCCGAGCGGCCGCAAAAAGTCGTGTCTGGGCGGCGGCGGACCTCCGGTGCCCCTCTGAGACGGGCCAGCCGCGGCGCATATGTAGCCGGCCTGAAGGGCGGCCGGCACGTGGTGCGGCGGTAAAGGGACCCATCCTCCCACCTTCAAGAAAGTTAATGAATTGGCATACTGGTGTCGCATGGTTCAGAGTGAGCAAAATGATTATGTACCAAATTTCACCGAAAAATATTAACCGCCTTTTGAGATATTAGACAATTACTCAGTAGCGGAGGAACACCTTCAAGTAAGGGGAGGGGGGGGGGCACTGCCAACTTTTGATCCCATTCTTTCCATGCAATGCCCATAGGGCTAATGTTAAAATGGCAAAATAAAGGGGGGCACGGTACCCCGGTGCCCCGATGCTCGCTACGGCAGCCAGCTAGTCGCAAAAGACGGGCAAGTAACACACCGTATCGTAGGCCTACCTATCTAGCTCACGTGTATTCACACGCATAGGTATTTACCTCACGCCAGCTAATGGTTGACGGTGTGTCTGGTCTCATGCATACAGTATGAAGAGCACTGTCAAGACAACACAGCATATTTTCGTACTAGATTTCGATATACGCCGCCTGGTCTGTGCGTCCCTGGCCATGCACTGCACGCCTCTGCCCTGCGTCTGGGCACAACGGCGCGTGTCTGCAGGAGACCAGTCGGCAGCGGGCACGGCCGGCAGACGCGCACGCGCGCCAGCCGGCCCGGCGCGCACGCTCCACGCACGTGCGTTGGCGGGCGCCGCGCGGTGTCCCAGTTTCCCGCCAGCTATCGACACGATCGAGGACGAGTGATGTCACACGCCCGCGCGTGCGTCCGGCCCCGGTCTGGCAAATTTCTCTTGGCGAAACGAGAGGAGCAGGGTGATATGGAGGACAGCCCGACCCCGGCCGGTGGGCCCTTCCCGACCCCGGCCGGCGGGCCCTTCCCTGGACCCGACCTCGGGCGAGATGGAAGATGCTTTTGCCTTCTCCAGCAGACAGCCAGAGAGGTGTATCCGCTACTGAAAATATTGTCTTTTCGTACAAAATGAATTCAAATTTATAGATTACGATAGATTTACACATTACGATTCATGGATAACGGATCACAGTTGATAGATGATGTGTAGATTATTTTGCTGTCGACGCAGAGCACAGCGACCGTAGGGTCACTGAGGTGTCTTAGCACCACTGTCACCAGGGGCCTATAACCCGGGCACCACCGTCACCAGGGGCCGGGGCCTATAGTCTGGGCACCACTGTCACCAGGGGGCCTATAGCCCGGGCATTACAGTCACTTTGCATACTAGACTGCTTCTAATGCATTTTTCAGGCAGATTTAGTGTTACGCGGCTATTTTAGAGATGAGAGTGCCGTTAGCCGTCGGAGCCGCCTCCGATATAGGCAGCCTCACCGGCCGGCTGCAGGGCCATATTTGTCGCTGCAGGACCGGGTACTGTCCGTCCAGTCAGTGTCACGCCATCGGCGACTCGGCGCCACGGCAGGGGCCGCGTGTCAGTCGGACACGTAGCGGGCCCAGCCTCAACGCGCCGCCCCGGCGCGACGGCAGGCAAAGGACGGCCAGCGGGCGCCACGGGTACCGACCGAGCGCAGCGCTCCGGTCACACTCCGGATGGGGAGGATGTTCCCGTATGTAATTTCATTGCCGCTACCAAGTCCCAGTTGACACAGGCGGGCGTCGTTTGGCCTGCAGGCGTGGCTGGGTTGGCCGTGCGCCGCACCCTCGCCAGAGGTCTGACCCTGCCCGGGAAATGGCCGGCCTGTCTGGGCTGCAGTACGGGGGTCCAGGGACCAGGACTGCGACAGGCCAGGCCCGTTACACGGCCGAACCGCAGAAACCATGTGGCGTTTTCACCCTGCAGCTGTGGCAGAGCTGCATATCTTGCACCTAAGTGTCACAGTGTGTGACAATGTGTTACAGTGTGTCACAATGTGCCCACAGTGTGAGTCACAGTGTGCCCACAGTATGAGTCACAGGGTGAGTCACAGTGTGCCCACGGCCCCACAGTGTGTCACAGTATGTGCCGTGGCTGTATCGCAGTGTGCCGTGGGTGTATCGCAGTGTGCCGTGGGTGTATCGCAGTGGTCGTGGGTGTATCGCACTGTGCCGTGGGTGTATCGCACTGTGCCGTGGGTGTATCGCAGTGTGCCGTGGGTGTATGGCAGTGTGCCGTGGGTGTATCGCAGTGGCAGTGTGCCGTGGGTGTGTCGCAGTGTGCCGTGGGTGTATCGCAGTGGCAGTGTGCCGTGGGTGTATCGCAGTGTGCCGTGGGTGTATCGCAGTGTGCCGTGGGTGTGTCGCAGTGTGCCGTGGGTGTATCGCAGTGGCCGTGGGTGTATCGCAGTGTGCCGTGGGTGTATCGCAGTGGCAGTGTGCCGTGGGTGTATCGCAGTGTGCCGTGGGTGTATGGCAGTGTGCCGTGGGTGTATGGCAGTGTGCCGTGGCTGTATCGCACTGTGCCGTGGCTGTATCGCACTGTGCCGTGGGTGTATCGCACTGTGCCGTGGCTGTATCGCACTGTGCCGTGGGTGTATCGCAGTGTGCCGTGGGTGTATCGCAGTGTGCCGTGGGTGTATGGCAGTGTGCCGTGGGTGTATCGCAGTGGCAGTGTGCCGTGGGTGTGTCGCAGTGTGCCGTGGGTGTATCGCAGTGGCAGTGTGCCGTGGGTGTATCGCAGTGTGCCGTGGGTGTATCGCAGTGTGCCGTGGGTGTGTCGCAGTGTGCCGTGGGTGTATCGCAGTGGCCGTGGGTGTATCGCAGTGTGCCGTGGGTGTATCGCAGTGTGCCGTGGGTGTATGGCAGTGTGCCGTGGGTGTATCGCAGTGGCAGTGTGCCGTGGGTGTGTCGCAGTGTGCCGTGGGTGTATCGCAGTGTGCCGTGGGTGTATCGCAGTGTGCCGTGGGTGTATCGCAGTGTGCCGTGGGTGTGTCGCAGTGGCCGTGGGTGTATCGCAGTGTGCCGTGGGTGTATCGCAGTGTGCCGTGGGTGTATGGCAGTGTGCCGTGGGTGTATCGCAGTGGCAGTGTGCCGTGGGTGTGTCGCAGTGTGCCGTGGGTGTATCGCAGTGGCAGTGTGCCGTGGGTGTATCGCAGTGTGCCGTGGGTGTATGGCAGTGTGCCGTGGGTGTATCGCAGTGGCAGTGTGCCGTGGGTGTGTCGCAGTGTGCCGTGGGTGTATCGCAGTGGCAGTGTGCCGTGGGTGTATCGCAGTGTGCCGTGGGTGTATCGCAGTGTGCCGTGGGTGTATCGCAGTGTGCCGTGGGTGTATCGCAGTGTGCCGTGGGTGTGTCGCAGTGTGCCGTGGGTGTATCGCAGTGTGCCGTGGGTGTATCGCAGTGTGCCGTGGGTGTATCGCAGTGGCAGTGTGCCGTGGGTGTATCGCAGTGTGCCGTGGGTGTGTCGCAGTGTGCCGTGGGTGTATCGCAGTGTGCCGTGGGTGTGTCGCAGTGTGCCGTGGGTGTATCGCAGTGTGCCGTGGGTGTATCGCAGTGTGCCGTGGGTGTATCGCAGTGGCAGTGTGCCGTGGGTGTATCGCAGTGTGCCGTGGGTGTATCGCAGTGGCCGTGGGTGACGGCTGTATCGCAGTGGTCGTGGGTGTATGGCGTCTGACCTGCGCTGTCTGTCTGACCGGCCAGTTGGACATCTACTGCGACTCGGAGCCGGAGCCCGTCGCCGACAGCCTGGTGCTGGCCGGGCTCGACGTGGAGCACCGCCAGCTGACTCTGCACGTGCAGCTGAGGGAGCCGGCAGCCGCACCGGTCCGGCCGGCCGGCCAGCCAGAGCGCCACCCTCCGGCCGCGCCTCCGCTGAAGCCAGTGAAGGGCCACGACTCGCAGCAGCAGCCGTTCGCGCGGCGCGTGTACGAGTGGGGCATGAGGCGGCGGTGCTCGCTGAGGTGGCGGTGAGCGGGTGAGCCGCGCACGGCCGCCTGAGGGCGACGGTGGACGGCCACCAGAGCAGCACCACAGCTGACCGCTGCCGTCTCCATGACCGGCCTCCGATGGGAAGCCGCAGTCAGTGGGCCATGCACCTCGCTATACAGGTGTGACAGTCAGGGGCGCTCGGCGATACAGGTGTGACAGTCAGGAGCTCTGGGCGATACAGGTGTGACAGTCAGGAGCTCTGGGCGATACAGGTGTGACAGTCAATAGCTCTGGGCGATACAGGTGTGACAGTCAGGAGCTCTGGGCGATACAGGTGTGACGGTGTTTACAATTTACCATTGAATTTTTACGAACGATGTTTTGATCAGCTAAGTTTTATGTAACGTGCCTTAACGCTCAGATTTTGCATTCCGAGGCCGATATCAACATAATTCATGTAATGACATGATGTGGAGATGGAATTAAATTGATGAAATACTAGGACTTACTCCACAAGGAGATCGAATGGGGATCGGTGGACGGCCATTCCAGTGACGGACGGACAACCAGTGATCCAGCGGAAGCCTTTGCTGGCAGGTTTAACGAGCACCTGCTCACAGCATTGGCCGGACCTGCTGTTCGTGGAAGGCGACGTGACACCATGCTGAAGGAGAACAACCCAGAAGGCTACCAACTCTATCGCCGCCTCTCCAAGACCCATGGCCGCAGCGGTCCGTTCTATGGACTTGTGAAAACTCACAAATACTCATCACCTCCCAGCACCGACGACGACAGACTCAACTGGATCTCCAACTTGAAACTGAGACCAATCTGCCCAGCCCACCGCGGTGCAGATTACGAGTTGACCAAGCATCTGACGAAGTGTCTGAAAGTCCTCCCACGCCCTCCACACTCGGTCAGCTCTCCACTGCAAGTCCTGGAGATGCTACAGAACATGACGCATGCGGTCAACAGCTGCCGTCTCGTCTCCCTGGATGTGGAGGCGATGTTCCCGTCAATACCTACTCAAACAGCCATCTCACTGATTCGTACTCAGCTGCGAGACAACAGAGACGCCCTCTCCGACGTAACTTGTCTCAAGCCCGACGCAGTCGCTGACCTGCTGAACATCTCTATCCAGAACTGCCATGCGGTCATTCAAGACGGTGACAAGGAGCGATGGTTCAGGCAGACTACCGGCCTAGCCATGGGCAAAAGCTACTCTCCGGTGGTCGCTGACCTGTACATGGGACACTGGGAGGCTGATCTGGAGCTCCTGGCGGCCAACTGTGGTGGCAGGGTCCATGCTTTCTGCCGATACGCGGACGACTACCTGGTCTTGTTCGAGGGCAGTGACGACATCCTCAACACGTGGGTCAACCAGCTGAACAGCAAGGACTCCAGCATCAATGTCACCACTGACTTGGAAGTAAACCGACAGCTACCGTATCTTGACATCTGCATCACTAGAAGAGACGACAAGTTCTGCACCAAGGTCTACAGGAAGTCCTGCAACACCAACCAAGTGCCTGCCTTCAGCTCCTACACCGAGACCCGCTACCTGAGAGCGGCCATTCGATCTGACTGCACTCGAGCGATCCGATACTGTTCGTCCATGAGAGACCGCCAGCAGGAGCTTGACTTCATCCGCCAGAAGTTTCATCATCATGGCTACCCACGATCATTCATCGACTCGGCCATTCAGAAGACTCGGACCGATCTCAGACTGAAGGCAAGGGCCCTACCAGCGCCACCTAGCGCGAACTCACACCCGGCGCCTGTCCGAGTCTCTGTTCCGTTTGCCGGCCCCCTGTTCTACCAACTCAAACGGGAGGCCAGCAAGATCGGGATCCAGCTCGTCTCCAAGCCTTCAGTCACCATCGGCTCGCTGCTCTGCAGCAAGGCTAAGCACCAACTGCCTAAGCTACAACAGAGCAACGTCATCTATCGGATCGAGTGCTCCTGCCAAGTGGACGGTGACCCAATGGTCTATATCGGCGAGACAGATCGTGAGCTGGGCACGAGACTCCGAGAACACCGGGAGAGCTGGACTGGAGCAGTCCGCTCGAGAGCCAATACATCGGCCTTCAGTACCCATAGAGACTGCTCACCTGCTTTCGATGCCATCAAGATCTTGAATCGAGCCAGTCATCACCAGATGCGACTTCTCCTGGAATCGGCCTATATTCGGACTGTTGGTCGGCGTGAAGCCGTCCTGGTGTCGCCGAATGACGCAAACGTGAACAGGAACTCGGGTGCCCTGCTGCATGACCGCTGGCTGCCGATAATCCGCCGTTTTTGTCAGTAGTGTTTACGTCTAGTTCGGCCTTTGTATGTATTTATATTTGTACTCGTCCTTTTACAGTTTTTGCACTCAGTTTTGTATAGTCTTTGTTCCCTTTTCTACTCAGTCTTTATCACCATAGGTATCCTGTTCCCCCCCCCCTTATTGTACTTTTATACGTGCCATTTATGCATTTTAGCACCCCATTTTAATTCATTTTAGCAGCTAGTGTATCATGATTGTTCTCACGTGTTTTTTATTCTCTTTAATGCATAATTCGAATAGTATGTGATCGCTCTGCCGCGCAGCTCCCGAACCTCTTCGATACCCGACTCGATTCGACCCGTTATTGATTCGCTGACGACGATATGTATAATACATATTGAAAGCGCTCCGACCCATTCGATCTCCTTGTGGAGTAAGTCCTAGTATTTCATCAACATAATTCATGGTGCCGTTTGCTCTTTCCCTCCCTGTTTGTTTCATGGTAATGCATTTCTGACAACGACTCACGTTAGGTCAAAGTCTATCGCGCCTTACGGTTTTTGACATCAGAGGTTGTGTGTTTTTGGTCGCTGCTTCAGTGCAGTTGTGCATTTTCTGCCATCAGAGCTGATGTGGTTTTACTAATGGTCTCTATGAGACTTCTGATACTCGCTTGTCAGCATGTTCCCTGATAGAATTGCATTGATTAGTCATTCCCAGTTGTAAGAATAGGGCGTTTGTGTGTGAAGTGCCTATAGTGTTAAGTGTATATTTTGCTATTCGGGTGTTGAGTGCATCGCTGTGCTACGAGAAACTATGAGTCTTCTGGTCACCTAAAGATGGTTTTGCATAATACACGTGGTAGGTACTCGATAACATATTTTTTCCGTTTTCGAACTACTCCGCCAACCAGGGTTGTGCTCGACTCAAAAAAATTTGACGACTCGACTCATCATTCAACTTCAGAAAGCCCTGACTCAACTCTGACTCACTCAATCAAGGAGCTGATTTTTCCCTTGACTCGACTCATGACTCAAGCGGCTCAATGAAAATATGAGTCGACTCAAACTTGACTCAAATTTTTTGTTGAGTCAAGTAAGTTGACTCAAAATTGACTCAGATAAAAAAGTTGCTGAGCGGGGGCGGGGGTGGAAAAAATCTGGCAGCAGAGCCAGGGCGAAGTTGTTAAGCGGGGGGGGGGGGGAATGAAAAGCTTGTTTCTAGAAAGTTGAGTCAGCTGACTCATGTTCCTAAATGTTTGACTCAACTCAATGTCAAAAGTTATTTTACTGACTCAACTCTGACTCAACTCAACGCCTTAATATTTTTGTCCGACTCAACTCTGACTCAACTCAACAGCTCAACATTTTATCCGACTCGACTCAAATCTGACTCATTTGAGTCAGAGTTGAGTCAAATTTCTGACTCGACTCATGAGTCAAGCACAACCCTGCCGCCAACCATATCCAAGACTGCCCTGCCCTCAAACTCAGCGACTTGAGCCGAACCTTACGGTAACCCGCGCCCCGCTGGGGGTCCTGGATTTCCACGCCCTGCTTGGGGTTGAACATCCCCCTCGAACTATGTTCCTGGACAACGAAATGGCATGCGGTATGCGGCATTTGAAAGAACGTCAAAAATAAGGACAAAAACGCTTCGGTCCCTTTTTGGGTCAGATCAAAGGTCAGGTCACCATAGGTCTTGAAAGGTTAACTACTGCCCATTTCAACATTTTTCGAAACAGCGACACATTGCTCGGGAACCAATAGAGCTACAGCGCCGCGAAAAAAGCGTATTCGATAGCCCTTTAACCCGCGAGTTGCTGGGGGGGGGGGGGCGTTAAACGCCCCCACTTTTTCGCCGGGCCATAGCATAAAAACGGCGCACCGCAGGCGCGCTAAATTCTGGGTACCTGTAGGGAATTGATTTTAAGGTTATTGTGACAAAGTTTCAAAAAATCGGTCGGAAAATTTTTGAGATATCGAGGTTTTAGTGACGTCATGATTTCTGAGTTTTCGACGAAAAACGGCATATGTTCAAAAAATCATATAAAATCACAGAATAGACATACAGACATGCCGTAAACGCCATTAGACTGCCAATAGGTACCTTGATCAATCAAATGGCTATCTTCGATTATTGATTATCGTTCCGCATTTTCCAAAATCTTGAACTGAACCTTGGCACTTTCTCGTGACTACTTCACGACCATGATACATGCATTTCTTAAATTGAACTTTTTGAGCCAAACATGTACATATATGATAAAATGAATGTCACCATCGTGTTGTACGGGGACCCGCAGTTGCTACTGTACAGTCTGTCTTAAAGGGACCCTCCCACCTTAACATTAGATTTGAGTTGAGATAGCCAAAATGGGGTCCCTGGCTCACAATTACCGGTTTCGGCACTCACAACATCGAGAAATGCCTTAAATCGGAAATATTGAATTTCAAAATTGCAGCATTTTGATTCAGAGGGGCTAATGCTTAGGTATACCCCTCTGAATGTGTGACGTCAGCGCAGATATCTAACGATTTTTAAATGTTTGACTAAAACGTTTTGTAGCACGCGGTGGTATATGCTATTTGCGCGCAACATCTGCCGCAAACGCCGCACTTCTAAAATAAAGTCGCTAGAAACAGCGGAGGTCCCAAAAAAGTAAACAAAAGTAAAAGTCTAATATCTTGAAAACCGGTGAATGTTTTTCGGTGAAATTTGGTAGATATTCGTTTTCGCTCTTTCTGAACCGAGCGACATCACATTCATGCCAA